TGTGTGTGTGTGTGTTATTTACAGACTTCTAACATTCCGTTCCTTGGCACCCCGCTACGTCCCCTCTCTTTCTGAGGGCTTGGGACACCAGGCAGCAGCATTGCTATGGAAACACCCCTGCCAGATTCATTGTTGGTGGGGACTGGAGGACGGGGTTAGCGGTAGGGTCGGAAGAGGTTGTGTATATCTCGGTCAAATGTGTTAACATGTTTTGTTTTTGTTTTCTAAAATGTTTCACTACAAAACTTGTTGCAAGTGTAAATCGTGAAAATTGCTTTATGTATAAAAACTGTTGACTTTTGTGTGTTTATGTGTACATAAATCATTTTGTTCTTGTGTTCGTATACTGACAGACATTTGAGCCACTGACCATTCTGCATCAGCGAAGCGTTGGGTTCATATTTGTCCACCAGCACCTGGACCTGTTCTGGTTTCAGAGGAGGGTAGAGTATCTCATTGAGACGAGGGTCTCGCTGTTTATTGTTGATGAACTCTGTCATCTGCTCCACACTGAGGTATGGACGACTCTTAGCCCCCCTGCAAAGAGAGGAGAGGATAAGGTGAGCAGTGGGTATACAAAAAGGGAGCAAACGGGGGGGAGCGCAAGAACAGAATTCAAAAATGGAAATACGAGAAAGTGTAAAGTGTAACGAGGAGAAGATGATGGGGGGGGGGGCGGTAATTAAAGCAGCAAAGAGATCTGGAGAGGGAAAGCAACAGAAGCGCAAAGGAGCAGAGGATTAAATCTTGTGTTGAGTAAATTATGAGATTTGATTAAAACGCCTTTCATATCTCAGCCTGTTCCACTAAATTATAATCTCCACATCATCCTGGCTCCCGTGCCATCTCACTTAACTGAGATTAAAATCTAGATTTATGACTTGGAGTGGCTTGGCCTGCTGCCTCAGCCGATGGTCTGAGTCCCTCGGGGGCCATCGGGGCAGCACAGCGCGAGGGGCCACACCACACTAATCAACTGCTCGCAACGACTCTAACGGTTAAAGACAGGTTGCCCTATGAAGGATGGCAGCCATTGTCAAGCTGCCAGTCTGAAACGAGCAACAGATGGGTGCGAAAAAGACAACATTAAATTAATCACTCTCACATTGTTTCGAGTTTTTCAAATAACCTTTTGTCTAAACTAAAGAATTAATGCATTGTTTTGAGGTTGAAAAAGATGATTACTTCCTGAAATACTTTTTAAAATATTGTTAAACTTCTTTTTATTAGTTTTCTTTCTATTACAGAAAGACTGCCCTCCCTCCCACATGCCCGACAGACATTGTTTTTTAAAAGGCAAATGCAACTGAGGGAAACATAGTTCTTACACGTCAGAGAAGATGTGGTCCAGCTCGGACCGGGGACAGATGTTGGTCAGGAACATGTTGTAGACCTCTGGAGTGAAATCCTCCTGGGGGATGGAGTCGTTCTGCAGCAGACAACAGCAACATGGTCACATACGTACACGGTCTACGCATACACAAACATACTGCACTTACAAATCACGGGGCAGAAGCTGTCCTTGTGGATAGAGGAGGAACTACAAATCTATAGCATCGGTGAATTCAGAATCTATCCACTAGTACTGCTACAATTCTATTTTCAATGTAGTGTTACACCATCACAGGTTGTGCAAATAAGCTGTAACGTTTGCACACAATGGGCCTCATGCAAGAAGATTATTATTGTCTTAAGTCTCTTTTACTTTTTTGTGGCTTGGGATTCAAAGTTGGATGATGTAGCTGCAAGGATGGATCTTTCTATGTGCACAAGTCAAGACATGTATTTCATCCTATGGGATGTTCTACAGCTGACCCAAACCTTAAAGTCTCCCTCTGGAAGCCATTAAACGCTTATAAACTTCAAAATGCAAATAAATAACCAGAAACGACTGCCTGCATTTTGAACCTATGGGCTTAAAAAAAACTGTGGCCAGGGCTCCCGACATAGAGAGCCAACGAGTCTGAGAAAGATACGGCGCACTCAGCAGCAGGCGACAGCATTGTGCCAGCAAGAAGCAGAGCAGAACCAAATACTGGAAGACATGAGGAAGGATGCACAGAGAGAGAGAGAGAGAGGGAGGGAGTGGGGGAGAGATCCAGGTCAAGCCCTGCCAAAACTCAACAAGTCATTCTGAAGGCCTCGGTGCGAGCTTCCTTGTGCATGTGCTTTTCCCTGAGAGTGTGTGTGTGTGTGTGTGTGTGTGTGTGTGAGGGATTAACAGCACTACCGTTTAGCTGTAATTAACTTGCGCGTTGGAACAACAGCAAATCCCACCAGACCGTCGTACGGCAACACGTTCGTACCTCCTGCTCTCTCTCCCTCTGCTAATTACTGTATGTATAGCTTGTTCTGTGTGTGTGTGTGTGTGTGTGTGTGTGTGTGTGTTTCTAATTATTGTGTGTGTATGTATTCATTCTGTTTGTATTCTGGAACCATTCAATACAGCTATGGTGCGTCTGCTCTACTGTACGTGCATATGTTTCAGCACGTGTACAGAACTGCATTAAACAGCATTTTCACACATGTAAACATGCTACTGCTGGAATACAGAGATTGTTGGCTGTGTTGTGGGTTTAGACCCCTATGGGTGGCGGGGCAGCTACTCTGTAGTGATATGGGTGAGAAGTAAAGATAAAACAGCTTTTGTCATCTCTATTGCTCCCACTAAGTCTATTTGTTCCATTACAACCAAGGATAAATCAGTTCTGAGTGGGAAGTCATGCGGACATCCAGAAAATTAGACTCCAAACAAATGAGCGAAGCATCAATCGGCCGCTGTTTCAGGAGAATAAAGAATGAGCTGAATGGTGAGAGGACAGCCTGACGGATGGATGGAGAGGATGAAAGAGCTTGGAGGCTGAGATAAGAGGCAGAGACAGAGGGACGGACAGGAGCCTTTTCAGAGACATGAGAGGGAGAGATATTCAGTATTTTGGTGTCGTACTCTGACAGAAGGAAGGTTACAGTTTTCCAGGGCTGTCTCCACTCGCTTCCTGTCTGCTGAGAACATCCTGAAGATGCTGCGGGGGACACAAAAAACACACCCGCATGAGTAATCACAGAAAATGCCACACAGACAGCAGAGTTTTCACTCTGATCCTCTGTGTCATACTGGTGAATTCATCACAGCTTCTAATTGATACTTATTAAGGACATCCTGTGAGAAAGTTCTGTTGCAGCAAACAGTGAAAAAGATAGAAGGAAAAACAATAAACTAATTAGGAGACAATACAACCGCAGACTTGCAGGGAAAATGACACAAAAAGACAAATATGAGACAAAGAAAACGCCAAGATGAAAAATGAAACTGTAATATGTGCAGAATGCAAAAAGAATCGAAATAGAGACAATGTGGGGAAAAACTAAACTAATTCAGTTTAATACAACAGCCCGGCAATGAATGCTTTATTCATGAATGTTTTGTTATATTCACACAGTTTTTTTGTAGAGCTGCTGCGTCTATCTTCTGTGTATGTTGGAGGCTGTAGTTTCTGGTGGTTCTATTTCATTATACCAAGAGGTGTTTCTATAATATTTACACATACGCTGTAAAGAGTATACAGTTGCATCCGCTTAATGAACTTGTTCTATTGTAAATGGGACAATGAGAAGAACACGCCGATGTGAATACTGCTGTTCACACCGTCTCAACTCCAGATGGTAAAACCATATGTACATAAAAAGTGATAATGTTTGCAATCCTTCATAAAAAGACGATATCAGCCCAGACACGTTTGCAAAGATGAACAGATAAATGTATACTGTTGTCATCGCTTCTTATTATTATCATTACCATTATCATTAACATTGCAACGACCATTATCATTGTCGTTATCACATTTCTTAGACAGTCCTTATGACTCCACACATCCCGTCTCTCCAGTCGCAAAACTACGCTTTTGTCTCGTGTAAATAAACATACGGATAAGATGTTTCCACAACACAGAAGAGTGTGTGATTGCGAGCCTGTGAAAACGTCTCATCATTTCAGTTGTGAGGTATCCCACTGTGTTTTTGATTTTTCTATTTATCTTTGGAGATACACGGTTTTCTCTGGACATGCCTCATCATCCGTCATTCTGAGTTTAGAGGGAGGCTTCCTGTGTGGTTGGACTACTGTCCTGTTAGTCTTGTGCATACAGACAATACATGAGGTTTACTGCGATGAATGACGCTGGCTATTTGGTTTTAATTACATGCAGAGGTATTCCTGTGCAGACCCATGAGCGCGTACTGTATGCTCGGTGGGAGAGCAGAGTCAAGCTGACATTAGTCAAGCTGACATGTCCTCCCAGCTCGGAGGTTAATTCCCTAAACGGCAAGGAGTGTCTCTCTGCCTCTCTGCGTTGACACCCACTGTTTTACTCTGCGGCTCTGAACGAGGTTATCGCAGAAGTTCACTGTTGGCTGCCTGAAACTTGACTAATGGAGACAGAGAGAGCTGGATTTTCAATGAGCCGACGACAAAACTCCCAGATAAGTGAAATTCGTGAAAGGAAATTCTCACACACGTTGACAGTTTTGACAGAGAATTTTTACCGCAGAGCTGAAGAAGAAAAAGGTGGTGTCGTTACGACAGAATGCAAAACGTATACACGGAGAATGTGTGTCTACTGAAGCGTGTACATGATCATAGTAATGAGAAAAGGCAGAGGAAGCTACGCATTGATCGAAAGAGCAGAGAGACGGCTGAGGAGAGGAGGATGAGTCAGAGAGACTTACTTCTTGACGGGGATTCGCCCCTCAGGGTTGAGCTGCAGCTTCAGCCGAGTGTATCTGCATTGGACGAGAGCACAAACACACCTCACACACAACATGAAATCAACAATTTGTCTGTGTGAGTAATGTATTTGCTCACATTTAATTTATGTGTGTGTGTGTACGTGCTTGCTTGAGCTCACATGTGTGACATACACAAACATTCGTCATGTCTGTCTGTGAGCGAGTGTATGCCAATTCACAGTGCACGCACGCTCGTGTCTCCGCAACGCCGAAGCGGCTGGCCTGCATGTGAACAGTTCTCTGAGCACGCCATGAATATTCGGGCTGTGTTTATGTGACATGTTCGATCGGCTAATGCCTGGAAGTCTGGCATCGGCAGCACAGAGCCGTGCAGCAGCAACACACGGGCAGCGCGGCCTGGGCTATAAATAGCTTAGCTGCAACAGGAGCCGTCATTACAGGCTGGGCTTTAAGTGGCTGCTGGCTAATAATTAATATCCATTACAGTGTCCACTTCATAGGGCAGGCCGGGTGCGCCACGGGCAAAGTCACCGATGACTGTAATGGTTAACGGGGGCAAAACTAGGTTTGAAAAATGTTGGCAGGGAAAGGGCAAGTTGACAATATTTGATCACTGAAGCTATCTGAAGTGAGGAAAGAAGGGAACAGAGTCTTTCTTGATGCCCTCATCACCTTACAACTCCCTGTATTATTCATCAAAACAGGAAAACAGATCACTTGCATCTGGCTCCGTCTTTCTCACTTTCTCTCTCCTCTCTACTAGGTAATGCTGAGCCAAGGTGAGGTCACATTTAATTCACCCGCAGTTACACACAAAGACCTATTTCTGAACAGCCACTTACTTTTTTTGTAATGGGATGAAATGCTAAGCATACAACTAGAAAGCACAGACAGGTAAAGTGTTCTCGCCTAGTCACAGGTCATCCCATCGTAAAGCATGCCGTTTGAACACTAAAGGCAACCTTTTATCCAAGGAGTGGCCTCAGCCGTACGCCATTGATCTCAAAAGAACATCTTGCAGCAAGCAGCCACTGTTTTATTTCCTGTGGCTGGGAACATTGCTCCCACACACACACACACACATCAACATCAGTGGAGATGATGCTGTAGTAGTGGTATGACAAAGAATAACCTTATTGGTAAGCGAGCGTTGCACAACAACAACTGCTGCTGCTGCGAGCAACCAGCGTGACTGCGAAACCTGCTCTGTTCAGTTCTATTCATCTCTCTGTTGTACTTTGTGGTCGATGGCAACTTTTATTGTTTCATAAGTCAATTAGACTCCTCAGGGGTGCGAGTTAGTGGCTTCTGTTTACTGATAAACATCAAGACAGCTGGGAGTTGTCACTGAGCACAGCATACGGCATATTCTCTCATTGCAACGCGGCAGATTCTTATTCTTTTATGTTCACTCAGCGCTCGCATAAATCAGCTGCGAGCCATAGGTCAGCGTGTGTTCCAATCGGATCAATACGAGCGCGGAGCTGTTGGCCGTTAGACTCAGTTATTGCACTGGATCACAGGTGGTGTGAGGGCGATTGATGACAACTGTCTCACTGGACAAAGAGCCATCGATGAGGGCTCGGGGTGATTTATGAAAGAGTCTGGAGCCAAAGGAACGGTGAATCCTCTTTAATATTTTGACTCCACCTCAATTTCAGGTCAGCGACTCGGCCTCTTTGAGGATCTGTCATCATGTCATCAATGCAGGAGGAGTATAGGCTTCCTTAGGAAGGCACACTCACGCACGTACACGCTGTCACACGTGCACTCCTGCACTGAAAAGCCGAGTCGGGTTCACGAACTTATACATATTCCCGGCTGTTTTATTTATCCTCCTTCGTCCTTCCTGTCTGTTTTCTCTCTCCATTGATGTGAGGTGAAGTGACCTTTATAAACTCAAACCCCCAGGCGGCCTTGTGGGAGCTGGTGAAAAGCAACCTACTGTTTGTGTGTGTGTGTGTGTGAGTGCAGTCCACCTTGGTCTGTGCATGAAGGTGTCTGTGTGTGTGCTGCAGGGTTTGTGATGTTTTATTGCATGCTCTGCACAGTTGTGTGCGTGTTATAAATATGTTCTTGCTTGCATTTGTAAGTTAACGTAAGTATTGTATTGTATGTTTCTTTTACACAAGCCTCATGCTTTTCCCTGCTGTTTCTGTTTATGTAAAGTACAGAACATACCTGATGCTTGTGGTGACTGACATTTCTTGTTTTGTTTCTAGCAGACCTGATTTTCATATTATTCTTGGGGATTTACATTGTTTGTGTGCTTGTGAGTGCAGGTGACCTACGTTTTCTCCAGGCAGTCCTCTCTGGACATGTTCTGGACCAAGAGGTTGGATGCCAGGTTGAACAGCTCCTCCGCCCATTCCTGCAGTAACAAAGAAACACACACACACACACATACAGAGTCAAGTGCAAACCAAAGTGCTGAGAGGTTGGAATGTGGCGGTCTGATAGTACTGTTGGGAATAAGTGAAGACGTTAGTTCGCTCATGCGGGTATGCTGATAACGTCCACTTGGATTCGGAAACACGCTGTTGCTCGTTTAGTTTACTTGTTTCATTCCGACTTATTTAAAGGAAACATTTCCATAAACACCAAATGGACCACCTTATGAATTGTTTTGTTGTTGTTCTTGTGCAGAGTATTTACCTTCGCCGTCTCCTCCTGGAAGGCCATGAAGTTCAGGTAGGTGATGTTGACCATGTCGGGGCCGCTCACCACCGTCAGCATCCTGTTCTCCATCTTCCCCGCCAGTGTGCTAACATCCAGCTGCTCGCGCAGCTTGGCCTCCTGAACAACGACACACAAACGAGACATAAAAAGCGCGTTATCGCCAAGATCAAAACCGATGAAAGTCAGCAAGTAAAAGTTTAATTTTGTTAAAAATATCACAACAGCTTCTACAGTAAACCCGCCCAGCTTTACAACACTGGAATACAGTTCATCCAAAACCTGGCAGCACAAACAAGAAGAGGCAAATGACATAAAACTGACAAGGTGCGCTGTGTTTCAAGGAAGTGAGAGACAGTACTTCTCAGTGTCATGGGTTTGCGGTCTAATGCTGCTTCACAAGAAGCCCTCTGGATGCACTGAACTGAAGCTAGACCTGCCAGTATTTGGGAGTTCGCACCTTGTCTGCCAGCTGATTCATGTGATTAATGAGAGGTCAGCTGTCTGAGGCAGGCGGTGTGAGGAGCGAGGTGAGGCGCTGCAGCCCCAGTAGATTTTGCAGTCTATGAAGGCAGCAAACAAGGTGGGTGAAGCAGCGCTATGATAGGAGACATTTCAAGTGTAAACTAATTAAAGGAGGCTGGAGGTTTGTACTGATACTAAAGGAACGACACCGGTGAGCTTTTTGGTAGAATATGTACACTTTTTCAAAGCACAGAAGGGCACTAAATATCTGCAGGGGATTTATGTGGTTATTTACTATGAATGTTCCCACTACAACTCTCCTAATCCTGAGAGCTTCATGGTTTTCAAACATTGCTTTCCAGCTTGTTTTCAGTTTGGAAAACATCCTCCCAATATTATAAAATTCACAGTTTTAACTGTGGAACGTGGCACCAGGAAGAGCAGCCAATGCACAGCGATGCCTCGTGACCAGGTTTAATCAGTGGATTCACATAACTTAGGAGATCCCACGAGGATGCTGTGTTTGCTCGAGGAGGGTTTTAACAAATTGCGTTTACAAGTACTGCAAATTCATTAGAGGGAATTATCTGCACCGCGAGCGAAGCACTTTTCGTATTGAATACAACTTTAATTCCAGGTAACTGTCTTCGTCAAATAAATTCAGCAGGTTAAATGAGCCCGTTGTAGACGGTGACAGAGAAAAACTGTGAAAGAATTTGCATTCAGCGAAGGTAACTGTCTGAGGAAAACCAAACCAAACAAATTTGAGCAAATACACATTGAAGCAGCTCATCTTTGGTTGGTATAAAAAAACAAACTGGCCTCTGAGGCGCAAGAGAGGAATAACAATGAACTGTTTTTCTCCTTTGCGGCCCAGTGCGCAAGCAGCATACAAAACGGTTTTCTTCCGGCTTAATTAACACAACAAAAAAAAGCCCTGTAAAGGATTTTGCAGTGAAAGCAAATGAGCTCCCACTAATTTAACCAATCAAACAAAGAGCATTGTGTCCTGTGTCACGCTGATAAATGTCCTCTACACGTCCCTCACGCCCCCCAATCAAATTGTGCGGCTGAGTGGCGCCCATTATTATCACGCTGAACTTATCTGAGGCAATGCATTTTTCCCACGAGTGAAGAATCTCTCCCCTCTGACAATTTGAATGGCAGCATGGAGAGTTAAATATATTAAAAATATGCCTTACTATAATTTCCAGAAGAGAAGAAGACATAACTCTACATCGCAAAAATGACTCCCAGTGTTTTGCGATTGACGCGTAAGGTTAGAGTTGCGAGACGCTGGGCTTGACTACCAATCTATTGAACCCAGAGTGCTAATTTGAACGAGGATCCATCAGCGTCCACTTACGTAATCTGAATGCCACCAGCCGCATCAATCAAAGCGTAAAAAAGCCACTTTCAATTTGCTAAAACACACAATGCCCAAGAAACCTTTGAGGGATGCTTTGGCATGCTGCCGAAGATGAAAGAGACGAGACGACAGCGAGATGCATATTCATTACAGCGCTTGAACGTCAATGTGATTTGGTTCTGTTTTGACATTACATGTAGCCATTAGCCGAACATACAGCTCATCTCCTTCTACGCAGCCAGCGCAAGGAGCTGCAGGCGGTCACAGCACATCAACTGGAGAAACATCGGCAGTTATGATGGAGGAAGGGATACAGTCGGAGAGAAACGAGCTGATGTCAGGGGGGGCGGACCCTGCTGGACAGGAGGAGGAGGAGGAGGAGGAGGAGGAGGAGGAGGAGAAATGAAAAGAAAAAGAAGCAAAGCCATGAAAAGAGAAGAACGGGAGAGATGAGAGGAGTGGGCTCGGCCATGTGAGTGAAATGCAATTTGTGCTGGTGCATTGTGGGAGCCGTTGGAGGCATGCCTGAGGACCCAGTCACCACAAAGATGGGAGATTTAGAGCCAAGCAGCCTAAAAGTTGGATGTGATTTGGGATGACGGTGTGGTTGGAGCAAGAGGACACTTCACAGTCTTTGACCACTCGTGTGAACGGCTGCTGTCGTTTGAGTGTGCTCATTCAGGCATACGTTAGCAGCTGCAGTGTGTCGGCGCCGGAGCTCTTCGCAGTCACTTAGCATTCAGGTGAAGCTGCAGCCCGTTGAAATGCACAGAGCTCCTCTCCCTGCCTCAGTTTGTCACAAGGCCCCACCTGTCATCAGCCGTGTTGGGCGCAAGGGAAAAGGATTCAGATTGGCAAAGGCAGGCCGGCCGCGCCTCAGGTCGTTAAACCTGCAGCACGGCACATGCACGGTAGGAATATATCGAGCTGCACACACACATCATCATGTGTGTGTGTGGGCATAAACACAGACACAGGGACATCACATCAAAGGAAATGTCAATATGAATGATTGATGTTGGCCCAACTACCCACACACGCCACTCAACACTTTAACGTGCTGCACCACAGATGTGATGCCAGGAATGAAAAACCTGAGCCGACCCAACAGAGATTCACTTTAAAGAGAAGACAACGCTTCTCAAAGGAAGTAGTGGTGACAATATATATTTATTTCTTTTTTATGAAGCGTTTCCTTTAAAAAATATGCTGGTGGCGACAAAATAATTGATTAGGTGTCAAGGACAGCTGCTTTAATAAGTGAACGGTGCCAAGGAAGGTGCTGCTGGTGTACAAATCGATGCCAGATACTTTTTTCCCTCCGTAATGTGCCAACTCTCGCAAGACGTACAGTTCACAGAGTAGTGTTATCAACAAAATAAGAAAAGAAAAGCCATCTTGGATGGCATCTTGACGATGGCTGCACTTTTGCTGACCCTGCCAGGCTGTGCAGTTTGTAGCAGTTCACGCTACATTTTCTTTTTAAAGCATCTGCACTTCTGAAAACGAAGAGGGTGTTTAAGAAGCGCAGAGCTTCATTTTCACGGCGTTTGAGATTTTTGGGACTCAAATATTAAATATAGTATGATTTATATAAGGTACATTTAGCAATTGGAGCCCGATGTAAACAGTCAGATACTATCTGTGTATACTGTGTGACCTCGCACTTTTACTCGCTCCTCATGAATTGCTAATCCCTTCATCCAACAAAACACCCAATTATGGCCCTCTCGACCCCAGGGAACCGCAGGTGGAGATAAACACAACCTCTGGAGGGCTTGAAAGTTATAAACGACTTTACATCAGTATTCAAAGGAGGGCATGTTAACGCATGGAGCTGTGACACCGCAGAGCAGCACCGCAGGTTACGAGCGGGGCTTTCTCCTGCTGCTGGCTCGCCTTGTTAACTAACAGAGCGGCAAGACGCTGCTGGTGGGGGCAGAAAAGAGCCTCGGGCATCTGGAAGGAAATTATGGGATATCAAGCTGGGAGGGTGATGTGCTCATTCTGCCACACAAATACTGTGCAGATGGGTGTTTTCTCATTTTTACGCACCCATGTGTGGGAATAGATTTGTAGTGGTGGCTGGATTTAGTCAATTACCTTTATGTCATTTTACTGTTGTGTGAAGGAGTTTGTTCAAGTGTGTTTTGTGTGTGTGTGTGTTTGTGTGTGTGTGTTTGTGCGTGCCTATTTGCCGTTACATGTGCTTTCTTGTTTATCAGCCAGTATGACTCACAGAGTCTACGGAGCATTTCACCCTCAGCAGAGCTAATCCTAAAACGACTCCCTCTCCTGGCGATGCAGTCATTTATTTAAGAGGGTCACGCTGCATCTGCAGAGTATGTTTTAAACATTAGCCACATCCTGACTTACACACACAGAAGGCATTGAAACACTGATTCCATCAGAAGAAAGACGGCCAAGCAAGAGTTGTTTCCTGCAAAGGAGCCTTCCTCACCATCCGCACGCACGCACACGCATGGTCACCAGAATGTAGACATCCTGTTCTACAACATACCTTGAGTTACAGTCAACACACTGTATATATTTACACTGTACATGGAGATATCAGTGGTAATGATGTCTGCCTTCGCTCCAATATAATGAGAAATCATGGCCAGGTCACTCAAGATAATCCACAGACCTTGTTGTGAGCAGTTTCATGTAAGAACCATAGTAGGAAGAGAATTGTTAAGAAAAATATGTATATTTTGTTGTGAAATGTGAAAGATCTCAGCACAGTAGGATTATATACTGTGTAAAACAAATATACGTCTTTGATCAGATCATCTGTATAGTCCTCTTTGTTTCTTTACTTACTTTAGTTCTGAGAAGAAAAAAAAAAATGTTACACTTCCCACCCTCACAGTGGGAAGCTACAGTAAGGAGTATTTCTGCTACAGGGGGACACCATGTAGTTCAGCTTTAAAGCTTTTCTGCTGATCAAACGGCCTGTTTGATTCTGCCTCGGCAGCAGCAGCCTTTCATTTAAGGATGGCAGAGCTGTCTGCTCCCATTACAGCTCTGCAGTTTTATATTTTTTAAACTTCCTCAGCTTGGAAGCCGCCTCGCAATTTTTTTTCTAGCTCGGGGTGAAACTCGGCTGGTGCAGTGTGTACAGACTGGACAGTCTGGACAGGACGAGCCGCGGATAAAGCTCTCACAAACGGCTGCATTGTAAACAAGATCAGAGAACGCGAATGAGAACAGAAGACGGGAGGTGCGCGGGAGGAAGGAGTCTTTGATTCTGGGGCTTCCCATCTCCATCCTGCTCTCATCTGTA